CCTTGACATTTGAAACACAAACCCAGCACCCCGCTGCGGCGCGGCTCCAGGACCCCCGCGCGGAGCGGTGCCAGCGCGGTGCCAGCCCCGGTGGCTCCGTGTCGCAATGCCTACAGGCTCGGGGGGCTCGGTGGGGGATGCTCCTTCCCAACCTGCCCCCTCCCGCAGCATTTCGGGGATGTCTGGCCCCACTGAGGCCACCACACTGAAACCCCAGAGCTGCTCCTGTATCACGGAGCTGGCAGGGAAGGGCATGGCACCGGGAGGCACCACCGGGCTCGGAGCTTCCCGCTCCGCACCGGGATCTGGCTGAGTGCTGGGAACCCCTCGCCCAGCCCAGCCCAGCTCCCCTCCTCCCCGTCAGCCGCCGTCAGTGTCAAATCTCTCGGCTTAAATAAAACCAGATGCCAATAACGTTTTCATAAGGTCCCGTGGAACGCGCGGTGCCTCCGGGCAGCGAGGCGGCTCTCAGCCGGCACCCGGCAGCGGGGATGGGCTCGGAGCTTGGTCCCCACCCGCGGCCCCCAACCCGGGACCCCTCCCTGCCGCAGGGACGGCCGCGGTTCGGGGGGGAGCTTCCCACCCGGCGTGCAGCAGCCCAAGGAGCCTCTCGCTTTCCTGGCGCTTGGCAGTGCTCCTGCACCGAGCTGGATGGGAAAACTCCTTCCAGTCGAGCACAAAGCTGTGGAAAAAGCTCCTCCTTGGAGCCTGCCCCCCTAATCCCCCAGCAGCCTGGGCTGTGGCTGCAGGGCCACCAGCACCCTTGGGTGCTGCTGGGCACGGTGTCAGAGCCACGGAGGGGGCAGGAGAGAGGGGTGAGCGCTTGGCCAGGGTCTCAGCTGGGTTTGGGAAAGGACTCAAGGGCTGAGCACTGCCCTCGCCCCATCTCTCGAGGGCAACATTTTCCTCTTGGCCCCAGGACAGGAGGAGACACAAGCGAGTCACTGAGCGTCGCCTTCAATTAACGGGAGCTACTAACGAGGTCGGGCACGTGCTGAGCTCGTGACTCACGGCGCTGAGCCCCTGAGCGAGCGGTGACGGGCACCGGGCTCCACGTGGGAGGGGAGCTCAGAGGTGGCGAGCGAAGCCTCAGAGCCGGTGTCTGGGGGACAGGGACAAGATTTGGGGACCCCCAGCATGCGTCCAGGTGGTCCCAGCGCCGGCTCTCGTGGCTGCTGGGACTTTGCAGACACCAGCACAGCTTGCTGTCCCCCCGTGCACCCCTCTTGCTGCTGTGCCCCATGCAAGCCCCTAAATGCCCAGCCCCACACAGAGCCTGGGGAGATCTTGGAGACCCCATCCAGCCTCTGCCGGCCCCGTGGCACAGCTGGGACAGGGCAATAGCCCTGCTCGACCTCCTCACCGGGAGGAAAGGGATGGGGATGAGGCATGTGGGGTGCAGAGCTGGGTGCTGCAGCCCGGGCTGCTGAGGTGCTCCTCCCTGCGTGGGGAAGGGAGCAGGATCCGTCCCACCCACCGCTGCAGCAAGCACCGGGATGCTCGCAGCTTCCCAGACGCTTTTCCTAGGTCACTTTTTCCCCAGACAGAATTATTTACCCAGCATTAAATCACTCCTAATGCTGTGTTGGGGAGAATGTCCTCACCTCTTCCCGGATGCCACCCACAGGTCCAGCCACCCGCACCTCCCCGAAGCAGTGGCACCGACAGCCCCAGAGGGGACACGCAATGGGGCCGAGCCCATGCCACGAGCCAGCCTGGTCCTAAAGGGGCAGGACAGGACAGGACAGGGAGATCCCCCTGAGACCGGGACCTCGCTCTGCAGCAAAAAGCTGTGGCTGTCACCTCCAGGGACACGGCTCCCAGCGGGATGTCCTGTGGGCAAGCCCAGAGCTGGGGGATGGATGCAGGTAACAGGGTCCTGCACAGGTCCCCAAACCCACAGCCATGGGAGAGGGTTGTGGGACAGGAGAGTGGCCGCCTGCTCTCTCTTCCCCAAAAGTCTTCGGCCCTGCAGGTGCTGCTGGTCCCAGGAGAGGCGATGGAGCAAGGAGCTGACCCCATCCCAGTCCCCATGGGACCCAAAGCCTGGAATGCAGCACCCCCAGCCCAGCACCCCAAAAGCATTCACAGGAGCAGCCCCACACCCCCAAATCATGGCCCACACCCCCTGCAGCCTCAGCACCTATGCATGCACCAGGGAGCATTGCTCTTGGTGGCTCCTGCACCTAAAGAAGCATTTAATTCCTTCTGCTTAACCAGAGGGGACCCGCTGGATGCACCGGCCTGTGCCATGGCGCACAGGCTAGGGCTGTGCTGCTGCTCGTGCCCCGGGGAGAAATGGAGCTGCAGCCTCCAACCCTGCTGCTCCTGCTGGGACTGGGACTGGGACCCGTGGCTCTGCCGTCCCACCAGGACCTTCCCACCAGGATGCCCCGGAGAAAGGGGCTCGCTGCTGCCCCATCCTGCCAACTGCAACGCCGCCGGCGAGGTGCCCGTGGGGAGAGCCCAGCTCCCACGGCCACCCACCCGTCCCCAGAGCGGCCAAAACAGCACAGGAAGAAAGGGAAAATACTGCAAGGCTGTTTCCTAAAGGCTCTGGGAAAAAAATGCTGCGTTACACGGGGCAAAGCCAAAACCAACAGGCCTTGGCAGCCCGACGCAGCCCCGGGCCAGGGAGCCCAGACAGCTCCTGCAGGATGTGGGATGAGGACAAGCAGGCAGGGCAGGGGGTCCTGCAGCAGACCCCGTGCTGAGCGCCCACAGCCAAATCCTGCCCCCGGAGAGGGGCAGCCAGGGGGGCCCTCTGCAAAGGGCCCTTGTCACTGGTATGGAGGAGAGAGGGGCTGGGATCCGGCCCTTGGGGAGCTGGAACAGCCACACCGGGGAGCCTCGGGTGACCTGCGTGGGGACACAGGGCCAGGGCACCTTGCGGGCTGTCCCGTGCTGGGTGCTGCCCCCCCAGTCCTGGGGACGTGGTCGCAGTCACAGCCCATGGGATGGGGAAGGGGGCAGCGTGGGCATCCAGAGCCCCAAATGGGCCAGATCTCAGCCCCCAGGAGTGGGTCTGTTCGCTCTGCCAAACCCCACAAGCAGCTCCGGGGCGCTGCCCGCGACCCCCAGACCCTGCCCGAGCACCACGGGGGTGGCAGGGGGTCACGATCGACCCCAATGACAGGGCAGCGGGGTGGACAAGCAGAGCCTGCAGGCAGCGGGACTACAACCCTTGGGGTCCCTCAACTTGGCACTGCCCTGCCCGGCTGTGGGGCTGGAGGAGGAAGGACACGGAGCCCCTGTGCGGGACACGACCTGTTTGTGAGGGAAGCAGGTGCCCCGCGGCCTCTTTCCTGTTTCCTCCCGGCCGTGCCGGCAGCATCCCGGGGAAGGGAGAGCTCAGGGGTCACCGCACAACGGGAGCTGCCCTGGCAGCGGGACCCCGAGCACGGTGCCCCACAGCACCGCAGTGCAGCCGGTCCCTGCCCGACCCCGGGGCTGTGCAGGTGCCACCAGCCACGACCACGGCACCGTGGGTGACAATGGCATGGATGTCACCCAGCCGTGAGATCGGGACAAACCTCCTTGTGCTTCCCCATCCCCAAAATCCCCCCAACCCATCCCCTTCCAACCCACCAAGCGGTGCCACCAGAGACCCCCCTCCGCACCCCAATTTGCGCATCCCCCAGGGCCTTACCTGGCGGCTGGAGGCTCTCCTGGATGGCTTCGACGTCGGCCAGGTCGGTGCAGATTCCCTGGCCGTGCATGAGGGTGTGCAGGGGTCGGGGCACACCTCGGGGGGGGTAACAGCGCAGCCCTGCCCCGCAGCGCGCCGTGTACACCCCGCACGCCGTGCCGCGCCCGAGCGCGCAGGTGGCGCAGCACCCGCAGCCCGGCTCCCGCACCAGCTCGGCGCAGCCCTGCGGAGCTTTGCAACGAGCCAAGCGCTCCTCCGAGCACGGAGGGCACTGGATCGCTTCCTCCCCTCCTTGCCCTTGTCCCGGAGCAGCTCCCGGAGCCGCCGCCAGCACCGGGACCAGCACCGGGACCAGCACCACCGCCAACACCGGCGGCAGCAACCGCGCCGCGCCCCCGCGCATGGCGGCCCCGCGCTGCAGCGCTCGGGCTGGCGGCGGGCGCGGGGGGCAGGCGGCGGGGGCTTTATGCCGCCCCGTGGCCACACCTCCCGCCGGCACCGGGGCCACCGGCGGGGCCGCCCCCGCCAGCCCCGTCGCCCCCCTCCCCTCCTCGCCCCGGGCAGAGCCGCTGCGCGCCGCCGGTGCCGCGTTGGGTACCCGCTGGGTTCGGCGCTGAGGTTGCCGGAGGGGGCAGCGCCGGTACCGGGAGGGGAGGGGAGGGTCGTCTCCCCCCCCTCCCGGGTCGGTGCCGGTCCCCGAGGGTCCCCGCTGGTAGCCCCCGTTCTGATCTGCCCGGGGGTCTTCGTTAGGGTTGACCCCGGGGGTGTGCGCTGGGAGGTGCTGAGCTGCTGGGGGTGCGGGGGGAATGGGATGGGGTGGGGTGGGATGGGGTGGAGTGGGATAGACTGGGATGGGGATAGGGATAAGGGATGGGATAGGGATAAGGGATGGGATAGTGGTGGGATGGGGATAGGGATGGGAATAGGGACAGGGACAGGATGGGACGGGATAGGGGTAGGGATGGGATGGGATGGGATGGGATGGGATGGGATGGGATGGGATGGGATGGGATGGGATGGGATGGGATGGGATGGGATGGGGGCACCATGCAGGGCAGCAGCAGCACCACAGGGGGCTGCGTCTGGAACCAAGGTCCCAGTGTGGGGCGAGCCCTGCCCCACACCACACCCCACAGCCCCCAGCCTGGGACCATCCCAGCCCCAAGCGCAGAGACCCCAGGGCGGCCGGCAGAGCCCCGGGATGCCCGGAGGCTGCCCCGGCTCCCCAGCGCCCCACATCCCCCCCTGCACCCCTACCCCCCTGTACCCCCCCGGGCCCGATCCCCGCGCAGGAACCGCGCCGGGGCCGATAAGTTGCAAGGTGCCGGCACCTAGCGGAGAAAAGCGGCAGGAAAACGGGCGGGGAGCCCCGAGGATGGGGATTGTGCCCGGAGGGAAGGGGCTGAGCCCCCGGGGGCTCCTCTGCCCCCCCCCCTCAGCCTCCCCTGCAGCCCCGGAGCCCTGCGGTGGGCTGCACGGCGGAGCGGGGGCACCTCGTACCATGGGCAGCAGCAGCCTGGGATGGGGGCTTGGAGATCCACGGGATGTCCCGAGTGGGAAGGGACCCTCAGGGGGTCACTGGGTCCAGCTCCTGTGCCTACAGGGCCACCCCCAAATCAGACCCCATGTCCGAAAGCATTGTCCGAGTGCTTCTTGAACCCTGCAGGCTCGGGGTCCCTGGGGTGCCCGTCCCCCATGCCCGGCCACCCCTGGGTGCAGAACCTTTCCCTGAGCAGGGCGAGCCAGCGGGTTTGGGACTGCTCCACGCCACCTTTGAGGCAATTAACGGTAATTAAGCACTTGGACATCAGCTGAGGCTTCACCGCAGGGCTGAGCCGGGGAGGAAGGTGGGGAGCAGCAAGGGGACAAAAGCCACCCCTGCACCATGCCCACAGCCTGGGCACGCTCGGGAAGGGCTGAGCCCATCGCAGCCCCCACGAGGGGAGCAGAGACAGCCCGTAATGCTGAGAACCCCATACTCATCTCACGGCTGAGCACACCCAAATTTTGGGGCTTTGGTGAGCAGGAGCACTCTGCCCCATGCAGAAACTCTGAGCCTGGGGGCTGGGGATGCTGCGGGCAGGATGCAGGCAGGAGCCATGTCCCCCACGCTCCCCCCCTGGCCCCTTTCTCCCCTCCCAACCAAAGCGGGGACCCTGCAGAACATCAGCACCCAGCACTGCCCCCGAGCCCCCCTGCCCTGCCTGGCACAGCCACGTGTGGCCGTGACACGGGGCAGAGGCGCCAGCCTTGACACGGTGTCCGAGCCAGGGCCAAACCCAAACAGGTGCCCAGCCCCACTGGGAACGCGGCACCTTATCAGGCCTTGGCAGTGCCGAGCGCCTGCCGGGGAGGCTGTTGTGTCTGCGGGGCCGGAGGGAGCAGGCAGAGCGCCGGCGGGGAACGGGGACGTGCTCTGGCTGGGCACGGGTCCCCCACGTCCCCCAGCCCAGCACCATCCTGCGAGATGGAGAGGGGGTGCTGGGGCACCCCACTGCCACGCTGCCCCCACCCCAAGGTGCTCAGCGCAGCCCCGTTCGCCTGTGGGTGATGGGGAGCCCCTGTGCTGCCAGGTCTGGGGCTCTTTGGGTTCCCAAATTCTGTTTTTTTGGGGTTCCTGGGGCTAGGGGGGGGCCGGCTGGGTGCTGCCTCCCTGCGACACCCCAACAGTCCCTAAGCCACCCCAGCCCTGCAGAGGGGCTGCAGGTCCCAGCAGTGCCGGGGCAGACGGGGATCTGGGAGTCCGGGGGCTGCAGCCCCCAGCCCAGGGTGGAGCAGGGGGGCTGGGGACCACACGTACCCACATTGGGGTGCTGCAGCCACCCACGCTGCCAGCCCCCGATGCTTCCCTCGTGCTCTTGCAGCCCCCTCCCCACAGCTCAGCACATCTCAGAGCCAGGCACCCATGGCCAGGCAGACCCCATGGAGCACCCAGACCCCTGGAGCACCCAGACCCCATGGAGCACCCAGACCCCATGGAGCACCCCGACCCCATAGAGCACCCATCTGCTCCTTGCCACTTTCGGTGCCCCCTGCTCCCAGCCAGCCCCTTCCCGCACTCGTAGTCCTTTTTACTCCCCATTTCCAGGCAGCATCTCCTCCCCCAGCTCCCTCTTCAGCAGCTCCCTCCACCAGCCCAGCCCTGACTCCCCCTTCCTTAGGGTTCCTCCGCCGGCCCCCCCACCCTGTCCCTGGCCGGGGCACGCCATGGCTCAGCTCTGAGCGCTCAGCCCCGTGCCGAATGCGACCCGTGGGGTGCGGGTGCTGGGGCGGGCAAGGGGGCGTGTCGGGGGCCGCCGTGATAACAGCGGGGGCCACGTCAGGGCCACGGGAGCAGACGGCGTGGGCGAACGGCATGAGCCAGGCCCCCCCGTCCTTGGCACCCTGAGGCAGCAGCATGGGGTCCGGGGACCCCCGGAGTCTCCTCCGCACCTTCTGTATCCTTTGGGTGCTGGCCGGGCACCTGCCCCCCAGTACAGCCCAGTGGTTTTACCCCCTGGGCTCTGAGGACACCACCCCGGAGCCAGGCAGCAGCCCCGCGACCCCCACGCTGCCCACCCTGGATGGGGAGGAAGGTAGGTATGGCCGGGTGGGGGCACGGCACCCCCGAGCTCCGGCACCTTGGCGAGGTTGGGACAGCTCGGGGTGGGGGGGCACAGCGGTGGCCACCCTTGGGCCCCGTCCAGCCCAGCACCCTCACGTTTTGGTCCCGCAGATGGAGAGGTTGGCGAGGTGGAGCCCACCAGGAAGGTGCTGCTGAGCAAACCCCCGCTGCCCGCGGGCTCCAGGAGACGGGAGCCCCCCTCCAGGGGTGCAGCCAAGGGTCCGGGCCATGCCCCATCGCGTGCACGAACCCAGGTGCCTGTCCCTGGGGGGGAACCCCAAGCAGCACCCCGAACCCCCCAGGGTCTCCAGATCTCCCCAGCTCCTCTCCGTGTCCTTCCCCTTATCTGCACCCGGCCGGGCTCAGCCACAACAGCCCGGGCAGGGCAGTAGGGGCCGGGCTCGTAGGGGCCGGGACCCCCGGTGTCCCCCCCCCTAAGACCCCCGTGCTGAGCTCTCTCCATCTGCCCTAGCACAACCGCCCCACGGCCACCCCACAGATCTTCGAGGGGAGCGCGGAGGAAGAGGAGTTCCTGCAGATTAAGGTGGGGGGGGGTCCTGAATTTTGGGGAGGGGGGCTGCGAGGAGAAGCTGGGGACGGGGGTCTCACGCTCAGTCCCCCCTCTCTACACAGAGCACAGCGAAGGGGCTGCCCCCGCAGGTGCCCCCGGCTGCCAAAATGGACAGGGCTCTCCAGGTGAGGGGGTGCACAGGGTGCCCGTGCCCCTTCCCCGGCCCCCCCAGCCCCCCCCAGCTCACGGCTTGCCCCCTCTCCAGATTCACAACAGCTCCAGCTGCGTCTGCCCCGTGCGCCCCGGCCCCCCTGGCCCCCCCGGCCCTCCTGGCCTGAAGGTACCCAGCATGGGGGGGCTCCTGGGGGGATACAGGGGGGGCTCAGGGACCCGCTGGGAGAGACCCTGCGGCCCCTCTGGCTGTGCAGACCCTTTTCTGCTCCGGGTTTGCATTCTCGCTGCGGGGTCTGCGTTATGGGATGGTTCAGCTGCCCCCTGGCAATGGGGGGGGGGGGCGCACGGGACCCAGGCTCTGATTTCTCTCCGGACAGGGAGAAAAAGGAGACCGGGGGTCCCCAGGAGACAGAGGCCAGCCGGGGCTTTCTGGGGAGAGAGGGAAGACGGGCAACCCCGGGCAGCCAGGTCACCAGGGACCCCGGGGCCCCCCTGGTCCTCCGGGACCACCGGGGCCACCGGGACCACCAGGTGCTTGGGGAGCCAGGAGCCCCCCTGCCTCCGCTGCCCTCCCCAAGGGATCAGAGAACGAGGTGAGGGCTGGGGCTGGGGGTGCTGGGGTGGGGGACACGGGGGGTGATGCTGGCGCTAGCCGTGGGGTCTGTCCCCAGTTGGACCCGCAGGAACGGGACACTGGGGGGGGGGGACCAGGGGATGTGACACTTTCACCACCCCCTGCTCTCTCCTCTCTCCCCCCAAACCATCGAGCAGCTGGGAGCATCCAGCCCTGCAGGGAACCCAGGACCCCCAGGCCCCCCAGGGCCACCCGGCCCCCCTGGCCCCCCCGGCTACCCAGGCCATGAAGGCTCCCAAGGGCTCCCCGGGCGGGAGGGGCAGCCGGGCCCCCCCGGCCCTCCGGGGGCTGTGGGACCACCGGGATTTCCAGGGACCGAAGGAGCTCCGGGGTCCCCAGGCTCAGCTGGATCCGATGGACCCCCGGGGGCACCGGGACTCCCAGGCCCACAAGGCCCCCCCGGGGTCCCCGGGCACGAGGGACCCCCCGGCTCCCCAGGACCCGCGGCGCTCCCTGGCAAACCAGGGCTCCGAGGGGAGCCAGGATTCCCCGGATTAAAGGTAAGGGAGTCCCACTTCTTCCACCCACGGACCCCAGGGATTCAGCCGGGGGCTGCCCCAAGCCCCACACCCTGCCCCTGTGGGATTTGGGGTGCCGTGAGCCCCTCCATCACCTCCCCACGTGCAGGGCGAGAAGGGCGAGCACGGGTTGCCGGGCATGCCGGGGAGCCCCGGCCGGCCTGGAGACGTGGGCTCCCCGGGAATGCCCGGTCCCATGGGACCACCGGGACCACCGGGGGACTACAGGGTGAGTAGGACCAGAGGGCTGGGGGTGCTCGGGGTGGTGCTGAGCCCGGTATTCACCCCGGGATATCCCCTCCTGCCAGTGTGAATCGCGGCACGCAGGGCACCACGGAGCCGCCGGGCCACCGGGACCCAAGGTGAGGTGGGGAATTGGGCAGTGAGTTTTTGGGGGGGTTTCAGGGGCTGGGATTGTCCCAGGAGCTCACGGGACCTCTCTGCTTTCTTCCAGGGTGAAAAGGGCGACCCAGGAGAGCAGGTTTGTACCGGAGGGGCTGCAAAGGGGGAGCTGGGGGAGGGGGTTTCCTTCATACCCCAAGAGCGCAACCCATGCACTGCCCCACATGTGGCCAGAGGGACCGGTCAGAGCCCCCAAACCGGGCTGGGACATGGGGGGGGCAGCAAATCACACAGCCTGTGTCACATCCAGATGCACAGCACACACCAGTACACACCAGTGCACACCAGCACACACCAGTGCACGCCCCCTGCCCCTGCCCCCCCCCCTTGTAGGCTCTAACCGTGCCCCTCTCTCTGCCCACCCAGGGGTGCTGCTACGGGGAACACGGGTGCAAACCGGGCCACCTCCCCTTCCCCGGCACCGGCAGCCAGTCCAGCTCCTGGGTGCCCATCAGCGGGTACCAAACGGTGAGTCCTGGGGGGGCTCACGGGGCACGGGGACCCCCGCCCAGCCAGGGGGGGCTGAGCCCAGGTATCGGCACAACCCACACCACCCCGGCTGCCCCATGGGGCTCACGGCTGGGACGGAGAGGGGGCAGGTGGAGACCGGCCTCGATCTTCTCTCTCTTTTTTTTACAGCCCAGCAAAGAGGAGACGGAGGTTTACGGAGCGATCATTCCCCACGTGAGAGCCCGCGCCTGCGCGACGGGGGTGTCTTGCAGCTGCCCCCCAAAAGGCAGCCCCGAAACACCCCAGCCCCATCCTGCTCGTCACCGCAGGGTCCTCGAGGTCCCCCTGGGATCCCCGGTCCCCCTGGCCCCCCCGGCCCCCCAGGAGCCCCAGGTCTCCTCTACCTCAACGTAAGGCGCAGCAGGGGCAGCGCACGTGGACGTGGGGGTGCCTGGAGCTGGGGGTCCCCTACACCTCAGCCTTTTCTTTGCTTCCAGAGGGTGTACCCCATCCGCGCCCAGCCGCCCTGCAAGGAGCCGGTAAGCGTGGCATCGCTGTCCCCATCCCCTCCCGGGGCACTGTCACCGCCGTGCCATGCGCCAGTGTCCCCAAGCAGCAGTAATGTCCCCGTTTGAACCCGCAGGCAGCGGCTGACGCAGCCTGGGCAGCAGGTAAGGGATTTTTTGAGGTGTTTCGGGTGGGCTCCAGCCCCTTTGGGAACACTTTTGGGAACACCTCGTGTCCCTGCCTGGGTGCATTCCCCGCATGGCACACCCAGGGCTGTGGGGGTGTCCCGGCATCCCCAACCCCACCGACACCATGTCCCCATGGTGCCGGGGTGCTTTGTGACCCCAAATCCTCCCCGGCTTCTCCAGATGCTGACGCCTCTCGGACGGAGCCACCGGAGCCCCGTGCTGACCTCCGGGTGCGTGCCGGGCTGTGCCCATGGGGTCGGGGTGGCCCCGGGGGTGGCAGCTCGGCCTCGAACCTCTCGGTCCCTTCGCAGCGCCAGACGTGGGTCTTCAGGTCCAAGGAGCTGATGCTGAAGTCGGGCAGCGCCGTCCCCGAGGGGAGCCTGGTCTACGTGCGAGAAGGGAGCAGCGCCTTCCTGCGCACCCCCAGGGGCTGGAGCAGGCTCCTGGTAGGGTGCAGACGAGGGGGTGGGCAGGGAGGGGGGGGCAGGTTCCAGCCCTGGCAGGCAGCTCCGGGCTGGATTTGGCTCCTGGGGAAGGAGCGAGGTGGTTCCCCCATAATCTGTCCCCCTCATGGAGCAGCTGGAGGACTCGGAGTCGCTCTTTGCCGGTGACGACCCCTCTGCCTCCACGCCGCGGTACCAGGTGAGGACCAGGGCTGGAGCCCTTCTTGGCATGCCATGGGGGGGGGGGACACAAACCCCCTGGGACTGTCCCCTCCTTCTTAATCCAGGAGGCAAAGCGGGTACAGACACGGGGTCCCAACACGGAGCCCCCCGCGGGAGCCCAGACGGACTCGCTGGTAAGCGCTGCCAGTGACGGGGGGGACGGGGACAGCACAGGCAGCCCCTGTGGTGGGCACCGGGATGGATGGGGAGGGGGCTGCACCCCTGGCACCGGGGTCGGTGCCCCCAAACTGCCCCGAGTCCTGTTATCGCAGGTCCCGAAGGAGGAGGGAGCAGGGCCGCCCAGGATCCTGCCCACAACCGTCGCCCCCAGGATGCCTTCTGTAAGCACAGCCCCACGGGGGGGCTGCTCGGCCAGTGGGGAGGGGGGGTGACAGCGGTGCCTGGGGACCCCCCCGTATCCATGGGTCTGCACCCTCCTGGGACGGGGAGAGGAGACCTGGGGGCTGCGGTGCCATTACGCCTGGCTGCTAGGGGTAATGGGACCGCGGGCCGTGCCCCCCGGAGCCCCCATCCCCATTGTGTCCCCATCTCTCTGCCATCCCCCCCCTTGTGTCCCCAGCTCCGCTTGGTGGCCCTGAACGTGCCCCTCTCCGGGGACATGAGCGGCATCCGCGGCGCCGACCTGCAGTGCTACCGGCAGTCGCAGGAGGCTGGGCTTTTTGGCACTTTTCGGGCTTTCCTCTCGGCCCCCACACAGGACCTGGCCTCCATCGTCAAGAGGACGGACAGGGCCCTCCCCGTGGTCAACCTGAAGGCAGGTGTCCCAGTCCCGTCCATCATGGGGCGCTCCCCCCACCCCAAAACCCTGAGGCGGTGCAGGGGACATCGGTCGGGGCGTCCCCCTGGGTGTAGGGGGGCATCGGATTGTGGAGTTTTCACTCAAAAGGGGGGAAAATATGTTCAAAGAGGTGGGAGGCAGCAGGGGTGGTGGCAGGATTTTGGGGAGGGTCCCGGGGTGGGGGGGGTCTCAGGGACAGTCCCACTGCCACTGCACACGGGTTTTGGGGAAGCTGAGAGGAGCCACAAGCAATTTGTCACAGATGTGAGGCGGGGACGGGGGGCTTCAGGCAGCCAAGAGGGTCCCCCCCCCAAGATCCCTCGTCGTCCCCCCCCAAGCTGAGTGTCACCAACTTGCGTCCCCAGGGCCAGCTGCTGGCCAGGTCCTGGAGCTCCCTTTTTGAGGGGACCCCACGGGGCCCCATCTACAGCTTCAACGGCCGCAACTGTCCTGACCGATGCCCTCTGGTGAGTCCTGGCGGCCGGGGGTGGGCACCACAAGGACACCCCCAACCCCACGCCCCCACACCACAAACCACGGACGGCTCCCATCCATGTCCCCCCAAATCCACAGGCCCCGAAAAGTGGCATGGCACGGATCCACGGCCCGGGGGAGCCAAGCCCGCAGGCGGGACTGCCAAGGATGGAGAAGCTCCGGGCCCGGGGAGGGTTTGGCGGCCCCCCTGGGCGAGGGCAAGTTGGTGGCGGGGCTGAGGCACAACTGCTCCGAGGAGCTGGTGGTGCTGTGCGTGGAGGTGGCCTTCCCCTACCGCCACATGTGGTGACGGGCACGCCATGGGGACACTGCCCCGGGAGAGAACCGCAGTGTCGGGGCTGTGAGAGCACTGGGAAGATGGCGCCGTCCCCGTCCCGGGCACTGGGAGCACTGGGAGGACGTCGCTGTCCCCGTCCCGGGTTGGGCTTGGTCCCCAGGCTGTGCCCGGCCACCTCCGTTACCTCGAGCAATGCTAATGCTGCGTCTTCCCCAGAAATAAAGATGTGGAAAAGTTGGTGTTTTGGACAACGCCCAGCTTCCCGTTACTGGGGACGGGGGGTTGTTACTGGGACAGCGGTGAGGGGCTGGGGACGGGTGTGCTGAGCCTGCAGGGTGGGGACATGGGGACACGGGGACACTGCAGGGACTGGGGGGAGCAGTGTGGGGACATGGGGACACTGCAGGGACTGGGGGGCACGGTGTCTGGGGGGTGCAGTGTGGGGACTTGGGGGGCGACACCACAAGGACCACGAAGTCACAGCCCATGGCTCTGCTTCCACAGCCACCAGCCTGCCTTGACTGTCACCACCAGGGCCACCCGGCAGGCTGTCCTGACAAAATGGGGGTTGGAAAGGGGGCTTCAGCCCCAGCCTGGCCCCCCGCCCTGCTCACTGGGTCCCAGATCCTCCCCCAGGCCCTGCCCACTGGGTTCACTGGGTCCCAGTTTCCTCCAGTTCCTGCCCAGTGGTTCCCAGTCCCCGCTCCCTGGCTCCCAGTTACCCCCCAGACCCTGCTCACTGGTTCCCAGTTGCCCCAGTCCCCACTCACTGGTTCCCAGTTGCCCCTAGACCCCTCTCACTGGTTCCCAGTTAACCCCAGTCCCTGCCCACTGGCTCCCAGTCCCTCGCCCACTGGATCTCCCAGTTCCCCAGCCCCGCCCACCTGCTCCCAGTTACCCCCCGCCCCCATTTTCCCAGCCACCCCAGTTACCCCCAGTCCCCACTCCCTGGATCCCAGTTACCCCCAGACCCATTCCAGCCACCGTCCCCCCATGTCTCCCAGTTCCCCCCCATCACCCCCCCCCAACAACGAGGACTGAGCATGCGCAGAACCCATCGCGCACTGACCCAGCCGCTCATCACCCTCCCTCCTCCCCCTCCCATTGGCCAACCCCCCTGCCCATCAAACCTCCCTCCCCTCCGATTGGCTACATTTGAAAGCGCGGCACGCCTTGTGACTGGCGGCGAGGCGGGAGGCGGGCACTCCTTGTGTCCCCGCCCTCCATCTCCTATTGGCGGAGAGCGAGGGACGGCGCGCGGTGATTGGCGGAGCGTTGTGGCGGGCTGGGCGCGGATTCGAACTGCGCGGGGCCGTTGGTGCCCCTCAGAGCTGCAGCCGCCATGGAGCTCGCGGAGTCCCCGGCGCCTCTCCGGGTGCGTGGGCGCCCCCCCGGCCCCCCTCAGAGCCCCCCCGGCCTCCCTCATCCCCCGGGTCCCTCAAACTCCCCCGGGTCCCTCAGGGTGTCCCCGGGTCCCCTCAGGGTGTCCCCGCCCCCCCCCGGTTCCTCTGGGCCTCCCCCCTCCTGTTAGGGCCCCCCCCAGCTCGCAGCCCCCCCCCCCAAGCTCCCATGTCCCTCAGGGCCCTCTCCCCAAAATCCTCTCCCCATCCCATCCCCCCCCGCCATTCGGAGACCCCTAAATTCCCCCCTCCCCCAAGCTCCCGTCCTGCCAGCCCCACCCCCTCCCCAAATCCCCCCCCCACACACACATTCTCCTCACATCAGGCCCCCCCCCCTCAAAAAAAAGTCTCCTCCTGTCAGGTGTCCCCAACTCAGCCTCCCCAAACTCCCCTCCTGTTAGAGACCCCCCCCCCCCAAACTCCCCCCAGGCTTGGAGCCCCCCCACACCCCCAAATCCCCTCCCATCAGGGCTCCCCCTGACTCAGAGCTCCCCCCCCAAATTCCCCCTCTGGCTCAGAGCCCCCCTTCCTGTCAGGACCCCCCAGCTCAAGGCCCCCCCAAACTTCCCCTCCTGCTCCCCCCTCACCCCCTCTCTCCCCTCCCTCAGCCCACAGATGAGAACCCCCGGCTGCCCAAGGGCGATGGCGCCAAGAAGCGGCTCTCGGTGGAGCGCATCTACCAGAAGAAAACGCAGCTGGAGCACATCCTGCTCCGGCCCGACACCTACATCGGCTCCGTGGAGACCGTGACCCAGGTACGGTGGGGCCAGAGCCACCCTCTGTGCCCTCCAAACCCGCAGCACGGAGCTGAACCAGGGGGGGCTAAACGTTTCTTGTCTTTTTTTTTTTCCAGCAAATGTGGGTTTTTGATGAGGACGTGGGCCTGAACTGCAGAGATGTGACCTTTGTGCCTGGCTTGTACAAAATCTTTGATGAGATTCTGGGTAAGATGACGCTGTTCTTGTATTGCTGCTTGATTATCAGGGTGTTTCTGAACCTCCAGGAGGAAACAGAGTTAAACTCGAGAACTCGTCAAGTGTGCTCTTATCTAGTTGCACTGTTGACCGACTAACACAAGCTGTTTGTGGGATGATGGCATTCATTATTCTAAACCCATTTCATTCAGTCCCAAATTCTCCTTTCTGTAGCACTTGTAGTACTCTTCTTTTAACTTATAAAATAGTTGCATTCCATTTTTTTTATTCATTCTACTGAAAATACTTCATATTTTGTCTTGATTGCTAGTTGAATATAATAAAATTTGTCTTTCTCTTCTAGTCAATGCTGCGGACAACAAGCAGAGGGATAAAAACATGTCGTGCATTAAAGTTACCATTGATCCGTAAGTTCTGCTTTGTTTTTTTTCAGTGCCTTCCCAACTCAGCTGTGTTTTATTTTTCTCATTTAGATACTTTTCTGATGAGTTGATGTTTGTATTAGAGAGCTCTATGTTAAGGACCCGTTCAAGTTAGATCATCAAATGTAATTTACCTGTTGTAAAAGCCTTTTTCTTTGTTTTCTTGGTCTGTTACAGAGTGCTGACTTGTGAAGTGACTGCTTTTTGTTGTGTTGTTTTCTCTGTTGTCGTCACTTTCCCTTTCTTGATGTTCTTGCTCTGTCATTGAGAATCACCACACAAAAATTGTGTGGTGATCCATTTCATAGATGGTATCTGTGGACCTGAGACTGGAGAATTTTTTTTTGTTGTTGACTTGTCCTCCCTCTGCTGGCTGCTTCTGCACTTGCTGAATAGAAATTTGTTCTTGTTGAAATGGTGGCCTTTCCCTAGAGACTTTGTGTGATATTTATTTCATAGCTCAGCCATCTGCAGCCTTAAAAACACACTTTTCCATCCCTCCAGAGAGAATAACACAATCAGTGTATGGAACAATGGCAAAGGCATTCCAGTTGTTGAACACAAAGTGGAAAAGGTCTATGTGCCTGCTCTCATCTTCGGACAGCTACTAACATCCAGTAACTACGATGATGATGAAAAGAAAGTCACAGGTAGGGAGGAGTCCACGGTATATGCTAATATTTTTGAGCAGCCTGATCGATTCCAGTTTGTGAACTGAAGTACCAGTGTGAGTGAGCAGGGGTGCTACCGGGTTTCAAGACTTCTCGTTTTCAGTAAAGGTACAACTAACTGGTCCCTTGCTGTTTTCCCTAAGAAAATAAAATGAAAAAGGGGGCAGGTCCTGATGCAAAATAGACGAGACCATCAGAGAGAAGTCTCTTTCCTATATTTTACAGTAATAAGGGCACAAACATGGACAACAAGGAAAATTCCCTTTGAAAATTCCCTTTAATCCCAATTAAATACAGGTTTATAGTCACATACTGGGTTTGTAGGATGATGATGATGTTCATGGGAAGTCTGCTTGTGCTGAAGTAACTCAGCTCTTGTTAGTCTGGAGTTCTTCCAGATGGTTTTGAACAAAGGGAACAACACGAGCCTGTTTTCTTCCTAATTCCAGGTGGGCGAAATGGTTATGGAGCCAAACTGTGCAACATATTTAGCACAAAATTTACTGTGGAAACTGCATGTCGCGAATACAAAAAGTTATTCAAGCAGGTATGGACGCTTCTCAGTTCAGTACGGTTATACCTGAGTTTTTCCAGATAAGTCTCTTGAGCTTTTATTCCAAAAATCTAGATGGTGTTTACATTCAGTGCACCACAAGAAGAATAAATTTGGCCCATAGCTACTCCACCAGCAATTATACTTCAAACAGATAATGAAAAGATTGCGCATGATCAGAATCTAATCTTTAACCAGCATTGGTTTTATCATTATTATTTGAAAGAATTTAAAATTCTTCATTCAGTTTGCTGCTTGTAAAAATTAAGCTAGCTACTTGTGTTTGTTAGACCTTCAACTCATAAAACCTGCTTTTCCTCAGACCTGGACAGACAACATGGGAAAGGCTGGTGAAATGAAACTGAAGTATTTTGATGGAGAAGATTACACGTGTGTCACTTTCCAACCTGATCTGTCAAAATTCAAAATGACGATTCTCGATAAAGACATTGTAGCACTAATGTCCCGAAGAGCATATGATATTGCTGGATCCACGAAAGACGTCAAAGTTTTCCTAAATGGAAAGAGGCTGCCTGTAAGTGAGCATCTAAGTGAAACAGTAATGTCTGTATTTCTTATGCCTTTGAAAGAGTGAGATTTTGCTGAAGCAATTTACACCATTACACACAGTGAAGTGAAAACTTGCATGAGTGATTTTTCTGCCTGCTTTTCAGGAGGACGTGAAATAGTAGCAGTAAGTACTTATAGGAGCTATTACAAATGAGTTCTCTGCTTTCATCTGTATGCAGGTCAAAGGATTCCGCAGTTATGTGGACCTCTATCTGAAGGACAAAGTAGATGAAACGGGTAATGCACTTAAGGTTATCCATGAGGAAGTAAATTCTCGGTGGGAAGTGTGTTTGACTTTAAGTGAAAAAGGCTTCCAGCAAGTCAGCTTTGTCAACAGTATTGCCACCACAAAGGTAACTCTTGCTTATTTAGTCAAGTTAATGTCATATTCTTCATCACTGGTATTCTTAGCTGTTTTCAAATGTACATTTGTTAGTGAAAAACACTTAATTGCTTAATGTGCGAAGACCATGCTTAACGTTTTAAATAGACATGCACGTATTGTTTTCAGTGGAATCACTACAAGGTCCCATTTTCCCTTAGGGTGGCAGGCACGTTGATTATGTAGCTGACCAGATTGTGAATAAACTCATTGAAGTTGTGAAAAAGAAGAACAAAAACGGAGTTGGAGTGAAGCCATTTCAGGTACAGTGTTGGAATTTTCCCAGTGGAAAGCAAAACTAATGTTGTTGCAAATTGTGGTTAGATTAATGTGTTACTACATTGCTAATATACATTTCCATTGTAAAGATGATATATAGCTAACTACAGATTACAGAAGCCTTATATAGTCCACTTCAAGCCAACTAATGATATTCTCTGTTGAGCTGAAGTATTTTGTAATCAGAATCCTGTTAAGTCAGTGTGAATGCACTAAAACTTGGTATCTGTTAGATGACATCCCAAATCATATCGCTTTGCTTGTGAATGTCCATTATCTGTCCTAAATTGTGTCAAAAGACATCTAGGAAAATTCAAAACCACAGCGATAATTGAATTTGTTCTCCTCACTGCATGATTCTGACAGGCGAATGTCAGACAATGCTGCTGTTACAGGGAGATGAACCTGTGTCATCTGTACTGCTTGTCTTATTTAACTACAGGTGAAGAACCACATGTGGATATTTGTGAATGCCTTGATTGAAAACCCAACCTTTGACTCTCAGACTAAGGAGAACATGACTCTGCAGGCAAAGAGCTTTGGCTCAACATGTAAACTGAGTGAGAAATTTATCAAGGGTGTAAGTATTGGTATACACAGATAATCCAGGTGCCCGTAAAACTGCATCTTCTGTTTAATGTGGCAAATAGTTATAAAGTTATGGCATGAATTAAAGTACGTAACTTAAATTCTGACATGGTTAAAGCTTTTCCCACAGTTGATTTTTTTTTTTTTTTGGTATTGCAGGCAGTTGGCTGTGGCATTGTTGAAAGTATCCTAAACTGGGTAAAATTTAAAGCTCAGACCCAGCTGAATAAGAAATGTTCAGCTGTGAAACACACGAAGATTAAGGGCGTTCCTAAGCTGGATGATGCCAATGATGCTGGTAAGTGTTTTACATCCTTTGTAGCCAGTTCACTCAGAAACAGTTAACATTTGTTAGTTAGACAAATGAAACAACTGTCTCGTAAAGACAATGAGAAAATCTCTAATTATAGTTTACCCTCATTTTGTGGTCAGTCCTACATGCAGTGCAACAAAACCTGTATGTTTTAGAAGATGTATATTCTCATGCAATTTGTGGGCGTACAAGCCTTGATTTCATTTCTTAATTGGAAAATTGACTTGACTTTTTTTTTTTTCCAGGCAGCAAGAATTCTATAGATTGTACACTCATTCTGACTGAAGGAGACTCAGCCAAAACACTGGCTGTCTCTGGTCTAGGAGTGGTTGGTAGAGACAAATATGGAGTATTTCCCCTTCGTGGGAAAATACTCAACGTCAGAGAAGCTTCTCATAAGCAGGTTAGTGGGAAAATCTTTATGTGCTGGAAGATGTGCTATGCTTCATGTAATGCAGTGTGTTTTAACTGAGTCACTACAGCTGAACACCTGGAACACTCATTTGTAGCAGGTAGTCTATTAAAAGTATGAGTCTAGTCTCACCTTGAGCCTGCCTTGCTGATTAAGCAGGAATATTGAATATTGGTTTTGTGGTCTAGGAAATGTTTAGAATGATCTAGAAAAATTTAAGCATTAAGACTTCAGTTTGGAAATACTAAAATTTTCTAAATAGGAAAAAAGCTGGAAAGGCAGAGCACAGTCAGAAGTATAGGTGCTGGATAATCTTACTTTTTTGAGCTATAGTTTGTCTGAAAGAAAAAGTTTTATTCTGTGTGATCTCTTCCAGATTATGGAAAATGCTGAAATCAACAACATCATCAAGATTGTGGGTTTACAGTATAAAAAGAACTATGAAGATCGAGAATCTTTAAAGACTCTTCGCTATGGAAAGATTATGATTATGACAGATCAGGTTAGGTTCACTAAAATTCAAAACTTGGGGGGGGGGGAGAAAAAGCACTAGAATACAGAGGAAAGAAGAAAACGCTATCTTTCTCTCACTGCCACTGTTGTACCTAATTCTCCACATTCATCCCTCTTTATCGTTCTGTGTTTCAGTGGGTCATAATGTGTTATAAGATACAAAACAGAACAGATAAAGTAGAGGGAGAGTAGCATCACTAAATTGCTAAATATTGTCTTTCCAGTCTGCTGATACAAGGTCCTTGACAAGTCCTTGATACACTTTTTCACAACAATTGTGCTTTTTCTTTTTTTTTTTTTTAACTTTATCCTAACTTCGAATAGTTAAACAGTGCATGGTCACATCTTTAGAAGTGAAAGTTAATAGGGTTAACTGACTTTAACTATAAGATCATCTTCTATTAGTCTAACAACTGACATTTCTATCGTGTCCTTGATTAAAGAGTCTTTTTTTAAAAAACAAAACAGGATCAAGATGGATCTCATATCAAAGGTTTGCTGATTAACTTCATCCATCACAACTGGCCTTCTCTTCTAAGACACAACTTCTTGGAGGAATTTATTACTCCCATCATAAAGGTAAGGGTTGACTAGATGGTAAGGTGAGTAGGAATTCATTGGTCTACATCTGCCTCACATTCCACAGTTAACCTATATAAATTCATTATAGGCCTCTAAAAACAAAGAAGAAATTGCATTCTACAGCATTCCGGAGTTTGAGGAATGGAAAAACAGTACACAGAACTACAATTCCTGGAAAATCAAGTACTACAAAGGTTTGTAGAAAACATAATTTTGTGAAGTCAAATGAACTGACATGATTCAATTTAGTTAGCCCTGCTTTTGCAGGAAGGGTTTGGACTAGGTAATCTCCAAAGGCCTCTTCCCCCCCTAAACTATTCTGATTTACAAATAGATGTGGTCTAGGATCTAAAAGTAAGCAAGTCGTAACCTCTAGATGGATGAAATCTCAAAATCATAGTACAACTACACTATTGTAGATATATGTTCCCTGTATCCTTTTAGGTGAGCATGCTTAGCTTTGATGTTTTTTGTTTTCCCCAGTACAGTCCTTGTGTACTGATAACGCTGTAAGCTAAGTGCTTACTCCAGAACTACTCTATACTGATAAGCAAGTTGCCAACTGCAGAACAATGGCTGGGTAATGAGAAATCATTTCCAATTTGTAGTTATTAGTTTCAGACATCAGAAGATCCAGACAGTCTCTAAAAGTGCAACATAAAACTGCTCGATTGTCTTTAATTCTTACGCTTTGTGTTACCTTACGTCCCGTTTAAAGTAATTTCAATTTTAAGTACGACTATCTTCATGCTGTATTTATATGGCTCATCACAAGAATTAGATGTAGCAATGCCTTTCTTTGAACTGCAACTTAATATAAGCAAGAAATTAGTAGGATTAACTAGTATTGGCTCTGCAGGTTTGGGTACCAGCACGTCAAAGGAAGCTAAGGAATACTTTGCCGATATGGCTAAACATCGAATTGGCTTCAAATATTCTGGTCCTGAAGATGATGCTGCGATCACCCTGGTAACTTACACTTGATTTAATTGTTGACTTACTACCTTTGGTATTCTTCTGCTTAAAGTGCTGTGTGTTTTCTCTTAAAATGCTCTTAGAGGCCTTTGGGCTGGGGATGATCTCTTTGTTACCAAGGCTACAGCTTTAGTCTAACCTGTAGAAGCAAGCCTGTCCACAGACCTCAGGCCAAGAGCACTCTTTCAATGATGGTTTTTAAATATAGCTCAGAACAAACTAATCACTACAAACCAATTGACATTTTCAGACACAATAATGAGTATTCCTTTAACATCTTTCTGCATGTTCTGCTGCAGTTTTCTCCAAGCTAGACCTTCCCTTTTTTCCTTAGAATTTTTTCTTGTAAAATGGTTCACTGGTGGATTAAAACAGTCCTTGCTTTTGTGAGCTCCTTCACCTTCAGTAGATGTTGATTCTTAAGCATTCTGAGCTATTAGACGATGCCAAAAACTAAGCTTTTTTTCCCCTCAAAAACATTAATAGGGAAAACTACTTTTAGTTTTCTATTATTTTGTTAAAACTTCATAAAGCTAAGCTTAGCTACTGTGTCTTAGACCAGTGGAAATGATGTTCTTAATACAGTTAACTTCAAGAATCTGGTATTGCATTTTTAGGCTACAAAGTCAGCCTGTTTACCATGTTCTTTCTCCTGGTTAAGCTCTCACTGTATACTTTCCTTTTCCTTAGTGTTCCAATAGGGTACACCAGAGAATGTCCTAAAACTGAACTTTTTTTTTTTCGTTTTGCTACATGTAGGCCTTTAGTAAGAAGAAAGTAGAAGAGCGAAAGGAGTGGCTGACTAATTTCATGGAGGATAGAAGACAACGGAAGCTCCATGGCCTGCCAGAGGTAAAAGGTTTACGCATACAAAGGAATTTGATTTCCTTTCTCTCCCTGGGGCTGTTCTCGGTTTCATTACAGCATGCTAGAGCTGTACACAGCTTTGAGTCAGTCACTGGGTTATGGGACAGTTAGTTATACTGCTTCAGGATCTTGCAGATCAGCTTCTTTTTTTGCATCTCATTAGTATAGCCTGGGTCAGTGGTCCAACAACTTGTTTCATTTTTTTTTAATTTTTCAAATTACTTTATCTATGAGGAAATAATGACTTGAGCAGGACTGTACGAAGACTTTCTCAGTAAAACAGGCCTGCTTAATGGAAAGCAATGTTTTATTTTTTCATGCTGAGAATGTCATCACTTGAGCTGTGTTTAGCTAGTTGTACAAGGAGCTTCCATTTTAATGAAACTAGCCAAGTATGAGCTAAGAAACATGTTAGACCTTGTTAAAATTAAGGCAGTCTTGCATCTGTTTTCCTTAGGAATACCTGTATGGGAAAGATACTAATTACTTGACATACAACGACTTCATCAACAAGGAGTTAGTCCTGTTCTCAAACTCGGATAATGAAAGATCAATCCCATCACTGGTTGATGGTAAGTAATTTCAAGGTAGTGGTTCTGTATAGTATATTTCCCCCGGTTTAACGAATGGCGTTTTTTGTCATATCATCAGAATCAGGGTAACTCGCTGAGTTTTCTGGGTTGGTGTTCTAAACTCAAGTTCCCGCTGCCCAAGTTTTTTAATCTTTTGGATTAAATATCTTGTCCATTCTGTAGTATGTTATCTCAAAAAATTAACTCTTGTGCAGAATGTTTAGGTCTATAAGTAATTATTAGTTTCTACAGAGTGGAAGCGAAGCAAAATGTCTGTTCTAAACACAAGGTCTTTTTCTGTACAGGTTTGAAGCCAGGTCAAAGGAAAGTTCTGTTCACGTGTTTCAAAAGAAACGATAAGCGGGAGGTGAAGGTTGCTCAGCTGGCTGGTTCTGTAGCTGAGATGTCCTCATACCATCATGGTGAAGTAAGAAAGTGTACTCATTGTGCAAAATACTTTAAAAAAAAATAAATAAGGCAAAAAAGAGCCCTTGTTCCACTTGACAGTTAACATGCCTCTACTGCGGAATTAGATCTTTGAGTATAAACACCAGAGTAAAGTGTCCGTATATCATATATCAGTTGGTCTGCTTTTAATTCTTCAATTATTAATTTAATGAGATAGGCAGACTGACCAATCTTACCTATACCTTATGGGAGTATGTTTCATTCAAGAAAGCGGAACAAGAAAAACCTGCTTTACTTGCAGTAGGTTTAGGAAGATGTTAAATAAAGCCTTTACCATGGTAAGGAGAAGTTAAAGACTAAAACAAGCTTCCTTTAGGAATCTCATAGAATCTTTCATCAGAGGTTCCAAGTCCAGGCAGGTAGCAGTATGCTGCAGGTCATTGGAATGTATTTATCCAGACTTAGATGGTCTTGGGAGTCAATGGTTGGTAGAATTAAATGACAAACACATTACTGTAGCCTCTTTAAGGCTGGCTTTTCCAAGGTTACCTAATACTTTTTACAAGGAGTAGAAACTGTCCGCTGCAGCAGGTACGCTTGTCTTGGCCAGGAAGAAACGCAGGAGTTCTTGAAAAAGACATGGGAACATATGAGTAGAGGTTACTGTATTGACTAAAAGCTGTTCAGGAGCTTTGCTCTTTCTGTCAGTTGCTGCTATTTTACATAGTAATAGCCAAGTGTGTTTTCAGTGAGAATTCCATTTATTATTCAGTAGTCAAATTTATCTCCTATATCAATTCTGTTCTTGGAGTAAATCTTCCCTTTAGTTTTGTCCTCTCAGGGAAGAATTCTGCAATTTTTAACTGTGACCCTTTATTGCAGGCATCACTGATGATGACCATTATTAACTTAGCTCAGAACTTTGTGGGCAGTAACAACCTCAACTTGCTGCAGCCCATTGGTCAGTTTGGCACAAGGCTGCACGGTGGGAAAGACTCTGCAAGCCCTCGATACATCTTCACAATGCTCAGGTCAGCATTAAAATTTTCTTACTGTCTTAAACATCTTTAGCATGTTACAGGACTCCATTTAACATTGCTTAAAATGAAATATGAATTAATGTTTTGCCTTTAAATCTCTAAACTTGGACCACTTGAATATGAAAGAGTCACAACAAATTTGTGACTTGGATTCTAGATTGGGAGAGGTAAGCTATAGTATTTTATAGTACAGTGCAACATCTGACTTACATAAAGTACAAACTTTGGGGGCCCAATATATTCAGTGGAACCAGCAGACACTGCTGAGATTGCTTAAGATTCATTGAGTGAATGCACAGATAAAACCTAGAAACCTAGTTTCCTAACATAGATGCTGAGGCTGCATGGATAAGTTGGTTGATATGAATAACCCTTAATTATTTGTTTCCTCTAATTTTTGAGGGTGGTTCTTGTGTAACAAGAATTTGGGCTGAATTCTCTTTTCCATTCTAGCCCGCTAGCACGGTTGCTGTTCCCACCAATGGATGACAATGTCCTGAAGTTCTTATATGATGACAATCAACGTGTGGAGCCAGAGTGGTACATCCCTATTATTCCAATGGTGCTGATAAATGGGGCAGAAGGGATTGGTACTGGCTGGTCCTGCAAGATCCCCAACTTTGATATCAGGGAAACTGTGAATAATATCCGTCGTCTGATGGATGGAGAAGAGCCTTTGCCAATGGTAACGTATTTCAACCATGTCTTGCTCATTAATTTATTCAGCACACGTTGAAGCATTTGATGCTTTTGTTTTTAAGGACTTGCAAGGACACAAAGCTGAATCCAATGTTCTTTTCTGCTTAGCTTCCTAGTTACAAGAACTTCAAAGGCACAATAGATGAGCTGGGACCTAATCAGTATGTGATAAGTGGTGAAGTGTCTATCCTTGATTCTACAACCATTGAGATCACTGAGCTGCCTGTCAGAACGTGGACGCAGGTAATAAATGCTGAATTTGCCTTAGGAATGTATATTTTGACCTGTAAAGCAAAAAATGGTGATTTGTAGGGTTTTTTTGGAGCTCTTAATCTCCAAGGAAAACATGGGTGGTCTGACTTGGACTCTTTTCTCAGACTTATAAAGAACAAGTTCTGGAGCCAATGCTGAATGGGACTGAGAAGACGCCCCCTCTAATCACAGACTACAAAGAATATCACACAGACACAACGGTGAAGTTTGTAGTGAAGATGAGTGAAGAAAAACTAGCTGAAGCCGAAGCAGTGGGTTTGCATAAAGTCTTCAAACTCCAAACAAATTTAACGTGCAACTCCATGGTATGTAATAGACTGCTGAAGAGAGTTCTCGTTTCAGGTCAAAGACAGCATGTACAGCTGCCTTTACTGCTTCTAATGAGAACATGCTTTCAGTAACCTATTCGCTTTGATTTTTCTGCTACTACTGGTTTTAAATCAGCTTTCTAAATATACCTTTAAAGGGCCCGCTACCAAGCCTGTCTCTTGACCTAAGATGGCGTGGTTTTGTCTGAAAGAGTCAAAGTGATCTGAAATCACTAGGTCCACAGAGACCTCTGTTGTGACAAGGACACTGCCACTGAACGTCTGGACTTTGACAGTGTTTGCAGCTTGGTGGAAGGTGTTTATCCAACAGATAGCTTTAAGATTCAAGTAACTTTTGCCCACTATGTGTTTCTTTTAAGAAATTCAAAATTCTAAAATTGTCTCTGCTGTGTTCAAAAGCTGAAGTAATTTCTGAAATGACACTAAGGCTTTATAATTGCTTAATAAGTCCATTGAGCTATCACATCTGTGTTATAGATGATTTTCAGTCGCTTTGAAAATCAGTTTCATGATCATAACACCTTTGTTCTTTCATCTAGGTTCTTTTTGACCACGTTGGCTTTCTCAAGAAGTACGAGTCTCCCCAGGATATTCTTAAAGAGTTCTTTGAACTGAGGCTCCGATACTATGGTTTGAGAAAAGAATGGCTTATTGGAATGCTAAGTGCCGAGTCTGCAAAACTGAGCAACCAGGCTCGTTTCATCCTGGAGAAAATAGATGGAAAAATAGTGATTGGTATGCATTGCTCTTGGTTCTTTGGTTTAAGAAGCTGGTAGAAGAGCTAGGTGCTCCCTTGAGTTCTGTCAGCACCCTCTCAGCCCCAGCCTGGCTCTTCACAAAACACACCACAGCTTATCTTGCTGTTCCAGTAACATGTAAGAGGAAAATGCTTGGCAGAGGTCCTGCATCTATAGGGCATTTATGTACATGTTAATTAAAGTAGGGTGCTCATACAGCTTTCCTACTGTGTGTTTGACGCTATTTTGAAAGGCGAAATATTTTTTTTAATACTTTAGCAAATACTCCTATCTGTTTCTGGCTCAGTAGGAACAAGAGTTAAGTACTAGTAGGGTTAGAAAGGGTTGTCTGTCTGTCTGGGTGTTTTGTTCAAATGCATACTTGAGAGCCCATATCTTTTCTGTGTTATCTTTGAACCTCTGCAAAATATTCTGAATCATGTTCGGTCGATTGGGGTTTCAAAGTTAGAAGACACTCAAGCTAGCAGCATCTGAGAATCATGAGCTAGAAAAGAAACAGATCTTTGTTTCCAGCATTCAAACTTTTCAATCAACTTTTCCACCTCAGTCTAAAAGGCAGTCTGTATTTCACTTGCATTTATGGAGGACGCAGCTAGACAAAGTGTCATAAGATGCTTTGTGGTTTGTGTCTGAAGGCAGCCCAATGATCCCAACAGTCTGTGTCTGTTTGACTTGACTGAGGAGGAAAAATAATTCCCTTGAAATGCATTTTCTTGGCTTTTTGTAATAAGCAGTTCCAAGGCTGACAGAGCTGGTTTCATTTGTGTTTGTGTCTCATGGTTGATTGCTTGTGATACATTAAAGAGCAAAAAATTCCAGCTGAAGCATTTCCATTGGTTGGAACATTTATAGAATAAATTTCCCAGGTGATGTCTAATGAGGTGCAAGCTCTACCGAAGCCTTGGAGTCATATCAGGTTTTTTTCCTCCACCTGCCTGCCTATTATCATAAAAGCATTCTGATACCATCACACTTTGTTTTTTTTGAAATTCAAAAACTAAGGGCTAGGGAAATGCATGTATGGAAATGAAGGAGAAAATATTTAAAGTGCTCTGGCAGGTGTTCCTGACGAGTACAGGAGCAATGCCGAGCTAACAAATCACCTGCTAAGTAGGAACTTTTTTGATGTTATTTTAAGCTCTACCACGTCCCACCTCTTGATGAGGAAAGGCTATTTTAGATCCCTATAAGAAGCTGAGCTGTTACAACCATAGGATCCAAAACTTTCAAAGCTTCTCTGGCTTTCCTACCAGTGATTTGTAGTGGTTACTAACTGACAATTCTGAAATGTCTGTTTATAGAAAACAAACCCAAGAAAGAGTTGATTCAAGTTCTTATCCAAAGAGGCTATGAATCTGATCCGGTGAAGGCTTGGAAGGAATTGCAAAACAAGGTAATACATCTTTCATCCTCTAAAGTGATCAGAGATGGGGGACAGTCCAGAGGATTCAGAATTCATAGGAAGAAGGTTGAGTTGTGGTAGCAGCTGAGGCTTTTGGAAGCTATAACTTCACCTGTATCCATTTCTGAATTGTCCTAGAAGAGTCTAGTGCACCATAAGCACATAGAACACCTGCGATTCAATGAGATTTAATCAGTAGTCCTACCGTTGTACGTAGCTATATTTGTTGCCAATGCTTTTTTTCACATTCAGGAGGAGGAAGAAGAAGAAGAGGATGAGAGCAACAAAGAATCAGCTGCAGCTACCGGACCAGATTTCAACTATCTACTGAACATGCCCCTCTGGTATTTGACTAAAGAGAAGAAAGATGAGCTCTGTAAGCAGAGAGATAACAAAGTACGTTCCTTCCTTTTCTTATAAAAGCATGGTATTATATTTTTATGGTGGATTAAACTATGTGACTCATTCTCAACTGTGGTTCACTTTAGGAAAAGGAGCTGGAAAACCTGAAGTGCAAGAGTCCCTGTGACCTGTGGAAAGAAGACCTTGCTGCCTTCGTTGAAGAACTTGATGTATGCTAATGTTCAGTGTAGTCTTACCAGCAACTTCAGTGTTATCCTGCAAAGGCTGTGTTTTGTTTTTACTTTCTTTAGTATGTTGTTTGTTCTGTATTCTGATGGTTGTGTTGTTTTATGCTCAATTCTGCAGGCAGTAGAAGCCAAGCAAATGCAGGATGAGATGGCAGGGATAGCTGGCAAACCTTTAAAGGTAAAAGGAGGGAAAACAAAAGTGAAGAAGGCACAGCTGCCAGAAGTAATGCCATCAGCTCATGGCATAAGGGTTGTTCCTCGGGTAACTGCAGAAATGAAGGCGGATGCAGAGAAGAGAGCTAAAAAGAAAGTAAAGGTAAAAAGTTCCAAATGCTTAATCTTTTATTACATCCTCTTCAATACAGAAGGCAGTCCTAAAGAAATACAAGTTCTTTTTGGTTGAACTTGTCCTAATGAAGCAGTCATTGTCTACTTTCTGGGAGAGGAACAGAATTTTAGGATATGGGACACACTGTAAACGGATGTTTCTCAGTCTAAAGGAGAACAGACTCACTAACATCAGGAGATGGCTTAAAGGGAGATCTCTTGGTAACAGCATATATTGCTGTCAGATGGGCTGCAGAGGTGGCTTAGAAATGAAGAAGCAGATACAAGTAAGGCTGTTCTAGGTGTGTTGGGGATTTTATAAATCCTTTAGCAGGCAGGAAATACGGGTAGTAATTCTCTACTCTAGAACAGCCTTTGCATTTCTCATAATGCTTTCAGCCACTTCATGCCATTGTTCTCGTTATCATGGAGATGAAGATTTAATTCTTTTACAGGGCTACTTGAAATTATGCCATTCGGCCATTTGCAGCCTAGAAAATGAAAATATCCCTACACCTGTTTTGACCTGTAAGCCAGACACATTGCTCCTTTCCTACAGATGGTTCCATCCAACCTTTTTTTTTCCGATTAATTTGCCTTGTTGATTTAACCCACCCTGTTTAAAATCTGCATCCTCAATACACCCTAGAGCCTCGTGGGCTGTCAGCACACAAAGGCGGTACCAAAGCACACTCAGGTGTGGGGACAAAGTTCCTGTTTTTGTTAATGTTGGATTTTGTGTTTTCAGTCACTTGATCCGGGGTTTGTGTCTGATTTTGGCCGTAATCTATTTTACACACAGTTTGTTTCACAAACTCAAGATTTCTTGTACTGCTAACTTTTGTACATCTAAAATAAGCTGTCCCCTTTCTGCGTTGCTCTCTACACTTCTTCAAATTGTGTGAGTTAACTCACTACCTATTTGATATCTGCTTTTATCTTCAGAGTGAAAAGAATGAATTAGATGAAAATCAAGAAGGAAACTCATCAGGGGACAAGGAGTCTTCAAGCCTTAAGCAAAGAATAGCGCAGAAGCGTAATGTTGTTCAAGGTAAATACTTTTTTGTGTTATTCCATCAATGGAAAGTGAGGGGAAAGTTTGTCAGTTTGGTTATCTGACCTCTTCCTGAAGTGGTGAGTGACATCTAGGACTGGTACGTTTGGAAAAACTGGGTGAGAAACAAAGTGATTCTGGATAACAGTCAAGCTGGTGACATGATTATTGTTTTTCTTTGACATTTAAGCCAGAATCCTCTGAGTTTATTGACATGTTTCTAAGTTGAGCTTGAGCTACTGATCCTGAAGCACATATGGAGGTCTGCTGGTTCATCCTGCCTCCCGATATTTTTCAGGTACCAAGAGACAGGCCACTCTGCCATTTAAGCCAGTAAAGAAAACGAAGAAACGAAACCCTTGGTCTGACTCAGGGTCTGATTCAGAGTCTGATGATTTCGAAGTGCTTCCTCAAAGAGAGAGAGTGGTTCGCCAAGCAGCAGGTGAGTGAAGACACAAATACAGAAGAGGAGCAGTCTGTGGAGGAGAAAATTGAACAGACTGTTTAGAGAGCTCCCAGAGTCTGAGATCTCAGCCAAAAGTCATTTTTAAAGGCTTATTTTACTCCATGTAACAACAAAGTACTTCTACTATTTGAGTAGATTTTCACAATGACATTATTTCAAGGAAAAGCAGAAGTGGACAAGTAGAGAAAATCAGGTTATCGATTTTAATTATGCAACTGTCTTAGCAAATCAAACGTGCTGTTGCAAGTGTGCTCAGAACACACTTGCAGCTTGGAGTCTTCTCACTGTCAGTCTCAATATCCGCTTGTTTTTATTTGCATCTCTATTTTTAATAACTGCATCTAAAATATTGGAAAGGGAACCAAGCTGAATATTACCAACTGTGTAAAATGATACATCTGTGTTATTTCATCAGCCAAAATCAAGCCCATGATCTCTTCGGACTCGGATGAAAATTTCATCAGCTCAGATGAGGAGTCTGAATTTCAGGGGCACAGTGAAGGCAGCAGTGAATCAGATACGAACTCAAAAGAGAAACCTGCTCCCAAGCCCCGAGCTGCCCCGAAGTGAGTATTTCTCCATGTAATTGCTGACAATTAGTTGTGCTTGTGGTGTTAATGTTACGTAGTAATAGTTTTTTCTTCAATGCACCTGTTTAGTGCATCATAAGTTAAAAAATACTTGGGGTTTTGTATTCTAGGGAAACCAGTGAAAAAACAGCTAAAGCTCCCAAGCAAAAGTCAGTAAAAGGTGATATCCCCGGTGAGTACAAACCCTCCTAAGCCTTGTTGATTTTCCTAAAACCTTATGAGAGTACCCTGGATGCTCCAACCAGTGCTTAATGCTGACAAAGGCAGATGTTAGTCACGTTATGCAAAGAACTTTGATGCTGGGGTGCAAGCCCATTTTACTGGACAAGGCTTTTTGTCTGGTTCTGACTTGAATTTGTGATTAATCCAGTTTTAATAGTTGTTACAAAGTTGCACGCAGTTATTCTGCTCTAATGCTTTAGCCGGACAGAACAGATAATTTAACTGTTTCAGGCTTGCTTTCTTCTTTCTATGTTCAGTCAAAGGCCAAGCTGTTGCTGATGAGGATGTGAGTCAAGCTCCTGCAGGTCCTTCTGTCTCCATACCTCCCAGTAAAGCTGTACCTAAAAAACCTGCTGCAACTAAGAAGGCCAGTGCTGCTAAGGGTAAGGAGAAGTTGAGTCTTTCAGAGCTACATAATCATGTAAAGGTATTTTTTAGATTGCTCTTGTTTCTCACAGGAATAACTCTAAGTGGTATCTCAAAGTGTTTAGAGGACTGAATAGCTTGAGTTTTAATTTCAGAGAAGATCTGAGGTTTGTGGTGAAGGCTGCCTAATTGTTGTCACTTCTTTAGAAGCTTGTTTCCAAACATGACGTGTTATAGTTCATCTCGGACATGCTTGAAAGGAGTAAGCTCTAGTTTGGGAACAGGAAAAGTAAATGCTTCCTTGAGTGCTACGTAATACTCAGCAGAAATAATCTGAGTGGAATTTGCCCTGCCGTCAACATTCTCTATGTCTTTTAGGGAAAAAAGCTACCTGGCAGCTCGCTTTCCAGGAAGAAGAAAAGCTTCTTTGGGGTAGCTTGGTCTGTTTAGTGCTGGTTCAGACTTCAGTCGAGGGCATTTGAGTCAGGTTTTGTGAATTTAGACACCCAGAGTCTTTGACAGACTTCGAAAGCTGTTTTGCATATTCCGTTACTCGCTGGTTTTGGTCGCAGCAGTAAAGCAATGCCTTACTTCACAGCAAAATAGCTGCTTTTTCCACTTCCGATTTCAGAGAAAGCCTGTTGTCATTCAGCAGTGGCTTGCTCATTTCATCTGAGCTTGGAGACACGCTTCAAGATGCTGTTAAAAATGTCAAAACAAGGATAAAAAAGAACTCAACAAATAACTGTTTAGTGTATACTGGTACAGTCCTTCCCTGTGCCAAAGTGTTGAAGGCATAAGACTGGCTACACAGCCGTGAGGCTTCAGAATTTGCAGGTCCAAAATGGTCTGTATATTGCATTGGGTACATTTTAATGTGATCCTCTAAATGTAGAGGAGCTAAGGAAGGAGATAAACAACCTCGTTTCTCATAATCTTGGTAAATAGCTGTCTTTCTAGAAAATGATGCTGCAAAATGAGATGACCTGCATGCTGACCTTGCAGCACAGTGTAGAGCCATATTTGCTTAGGAAGGAAGATTTGTGCATGAGAAGAGAAGCAGCAAAACAAAAGTTTAAAGGCAGAATTCTGTTTCAGATAACCAGCCGTCCATCATGGATATCCTAGCCAAGAAAAAGGCTGTGCCAAAATCCAGCAAGACAGCAGTGAAGGAGGAGCCTCTGGATTCGGATGCTAGAGCAGCGGATGTCAAGAAGCCGGGTCCGACCAAGGGGCGGAAACTTACCAAAAGGCAGCCGAGTTCCTCAGATTCGGATTCAGATTTTGGTGTGAAGCCTTCCAAATCAGTTGCAGCAAAGGTTTGTATTCTACCACATGTTAGTGCCAAGGGGGTACAAGAGTCTGGTGTCAGTTATTCTGGCAGAAAAATTATGGTGGAAGTAAAACCTCCAGTGCAACACCCCTTTTCATTACTGGATGGGGGGGAGATGGGTAAGAAAGGGAAGGAAGTCAGGCAGCAATACTCGTCCCAGATTGTTGGTTTGATCTCATCAGTCTGAACAACAGCCCTACCTGTGACACGGAGGTGTGTTTTATGCTAATTGGATGTTAACCTGTTTATGCTCAGGTTCATGATTCACTTCTCAACTATGCTTTCCCTCCAGAAACCCAAGCAGGAAGACAGTGACAGTTTTACTGCTGAACTAACTGCTCGCGCAGACAGTCCCACAGAAGCCGCACCCCGTGCCAGGCCAGGACGTCTCAAGAAGCCTGTCCAATACTTGGAGTCATCTGATGACGACATGTTTTGAATTTTTATGAAGTTTTTAAACTATTGATCTATGAAGTTTCTTTCAGCAGAGCCCTTAACAAGCTCTCACCGAAGAACATCTCAGGCTAGGAAGTCTTTTTCAATTAATTTAAGCTTGTCTAAAAATGTTTAATACAAGTGAAGACAGATCTATTTTTTTATTTTTTTTTTAATTCAGACTTGTTTAAATAGGAACACCCACCCTTTCTCACAGTGATGTGCCCAGCCAGTGCTGATGTGCTTCCCTTTTACCCATTAGCTAGCTGGAAGGTCCGGGTGAAATCTTTTGACTCTTTGTGGTCATTTTAATATCAAGGCAGATGTTTGTATATTTCAAGTCCTGTCAATTACGCTTGCCTAGATTATTCTCTATCCTAATTATATATCATCTTTAGATATCTTAAAAACTAACATGAAAACTTTTAACTTCACTAACACAGAGACTTAGCTGTGAGATGCAGGTATATAGAACTCCAAGCTAGTGTTTTTCTTAGTCTTTTATGTCTGTGCAAGCCCCTGTTGCTCAACTTCTGCCATGTTGAGTTTTAGCCTTTGCTTTTTTTTTCACTTCAGATTTGGTAACGGAGGTTTGTGCAGACTTGTCTCCACACTGTGCTCAGTGTTGGCAGTTTTATCTTCTGCCCTGCTGCCAAAAACCCTGCGTTCAGCTAGTTCAGCCCAGAGGTCATCCTTAGGTAAGAGGCGCTGGTGCCTGCCAATGTCTTGTGCCATTAGCCGGGTGTCTCTTGAGGTGCCAGCTGCTGGCGAGGAGGGGAGCTCAGCAGCAGCTGGAGAGACAACTCTTTGTCATCCGGGAGTCTTTGATGAAGGCAAGCAGGCTGGTTATTCCAACGTACACATTGCAAAGCAGCAGGTTCCCCTGCCCTGGGCTCCTCTGCTGCTGTATTTGGCACTACAACAGGCTGCGGTGCAGAACGGGCACTCCACAGCGGGAAGCTTCTCCTGCCACCTCCTTCCTGGGCACAGAGGGCTTCCCCTGAGCACCTACAAGTGCAGTCCCCTGCCTGCTGGAGCCCCTTTGTCACCTCCCTGCCCTTGGGCGTGGAAGGTAGTCCACCACTTGATTCCCCCCAGCTTCTGCTGAGGAAGACGTCGTCCCCTCAGCTGTATTTCAGGGGTGTAGAGCTCGTCGTGATTTCTTCCTCATGGAGCCATTTCTATGGCACTGAGTGTTTGTTTTGTGACCCTGTAAATATTTTCTGTGTTTGTCGTTAAGCCGTCCTTTTAACTATTTACGTAATAAAAGATTTTTTTTACTTGAGCTTTGTTCAATAAAAGGAGTTGTCCATTCCTGTCTGTTCTCCCAGCACTGAGCTCTCCCTGTCCCTGGGGCATGGTGTGCTGGTGGAGCACAGGGCTTGGAGTGAGCTCTGCTCTGGGCATAGCTTTTGGTACCCAGAATCATTTGGGTTGGAAAAAGCACTTTGTGGGGTCGTTGTGCCCTAAGGGCAGGATGCACCACTTGTCATTAACCCTTCTTGAGTGGTTCAACAGCCAGAGGGGAAGGGGTGCAGCCTTCCCTGCTCTCCTACCCTTGTGACATCTGCAAATCTGGAGTCGTGCTGTCACCCCCAGCCAGGAGCTGCGTGCAGTGCATGTCTCTGGACCAGAAACGAGGTGAGGGAGGTGCTGAGGAGCCGCGGCGTGGCCTTGTCCCCAGCGGGATGGTGACGGTGACGTGCTGCTGCCAACCGCTGCGGCAGGGCAGGCGGTGACTGGTGACAGCGCACCCGGATTGCAGCCGGCACCGCTTCTGCTTTCCCCTGGGGTGCCTGCGGGGAGCTGCTGCTCCTGCTCACAGGGTGCTGCCACCTGGAAGCCCCTCAACCAGGCCCCCTACGGGAGCAGGGCTGGGGGTCTCCCCCCCAAAACACCTTCCTCTCTTCAGCTTCTGTGCCCCCACCGGGGGCGATGCCTGCGGCTGGCTCAGGTGGGTGCTGCCCAGGCTCCTTCCTGCCAGTCCCTCACCAGGACGCTGCGGCTTTGCAAAGCCTCCGACCACCGCCTCGGCTCTGCAGCTGAGGTTTTTCAAGCGAAAAATTCGTGGCAGTACCCAAGTGGCAGAGCCCAAGTGCCGCAGGTTCTGCTTCAGCAAGGCACCGGCACTGCTGCAGGTGTGCCCAGGCTGAAGTTTCGGAAACGCTCAGCCCTCCAGAGCTGGTTTTTGCTCTCGAGGGCTGTGCTCCCTCCGAACAGGCTCTCTGGGTGGGAGCACGAGCACGGCAGGATTTACAGCCCCCCCCTCCATGCCATGCACCCGCAGTGGGCTCTGTTCCAGCTGAGGCTGGCTGCGGGCACACTGGGACTGTCTGTGGGTGCCTCGCGTGCGTTCTGCCACGGCGGGTGGGGAGGAAGCAGGCGCTGGGTGCCGTGCGGCCAGCAGCAGCTTGCGTCCTGCGAGGTGGGGACAAGGGCTCCAAATCCACCAGCACAGAGCTCGTCCATGAGAGCACCCTGAGCGTCGCGCATGAGGCTGAAATAGGGGAGATGTGGGGCTGCCAGCACGCAGCTCACTGCTGGTGGCTCCTGGGCTGGCACCGAGGGACAAAGGACCTCGTGCCGTGCCGCCCGCGTTGCCCCACGTCCCATCCCGGTGATTTATGCACCAAGGGGGTGCTGCTGGTGCAGGAGCAGCCACCAAACCCGGTGCCCTCCCCATCTCCACCGGCCACCGAGCAGCCGCCGGGCGCGGGGCACCATCGATGCCACTGAGGTGCTTTGCTGGAACCCAGTCAAGTGTGGAAAGCGCCGTCAGATTTTCCACTGCCGGGCTCTGGAGAGCGTCTCCGGCGCGTCCCCGCCGAGGGGCTGTGCTATTTACAGCTCCTCGCTGCGAGGCTCGGCCGCACGGCAAACGGGGCTGTGTCTGTAGCTGCCCCGCTAACCCCGGTGTCACCCCAAATGTGTCCGGAGAGCTGTGTGTGCGCAAACGGTGTGTGCGCCATCGGGTCTCCATCCCAAAACATCCTTTTTTTGGGGTGAGGAGGAGGTGTGGGGATGCTGAGCGCTGTGTGCAGGACTCTGCGGTCACCGATCCAACGCAGGGACCCCCCCCACCAAGGGGTGAGGGGGTCCCCAGGGTGAATTGCATCAACCTGGGCTCTGCTGCGCTCACTGGAAGGGGAAACTGAGGCACGGGTGAAGGATGCGGCTGCCCCTTGGGCACGGCTGCTGCACCCTGGCCTGGGTGGGGAGGAGATGCAAGCACCAGGGAGTGAGGGGCGCTTTTTTTTTGGGGGGGGGGAGCTCACTGGACCAAATCAGCACCTTGACATTTGGGGTGCCCAAAGCACAGGGGGTTTTCTGCTTGGGGGAAGCCTCTGCCCCCCCCACACCGTGCTGCACCCCGGGCTGCCGCCGTCCACCCTTTGTCCTTGGGGCCCCCCCACCAGCAGAACCGAGCCCTTCCCTCCCCTCCGTGTGCCCCTGCGGCCGCTTGGTCTCTTTAAAAGGACTCCAGGCGTGGCTGCGGGGCTGTCATCCTGTCCCTGCTGGACCAGGGACCGGACAGCCCCGGACAGCCCCGGACAGCCCCGGACAGCCGCGCTGCGGGCGAGCGGGGACCACAGGCACCACGGGGACCGCAGGTACCAGGGCTGACCCTGTTGTGTTGGGGGGGTCACAAAAAGAGAGGGAGAACAAGGGATGGGGACCCCCATAGTCCTGACCCTACTGGTGTCATTGGTCCCATTACTGGGGGAGCGAGGAGAAGCTTGGGGACATTTGGGGACATTTGTGCCACCGGTGGGCTGGCACCGGATGAACGCCCTGATAGGGGATGGGGGCTCGGTGGTGATTTGGGGAGGGCGCTGAGCCCCCCCAGGAGGAGGCTGCATGCCCACTGGGGGGTCTGTCCCCCATGGGCACGGTGCCCCCATTCCCCGGTGCTGACCCCCGGTCCCGCAGCGCGGCCATGGGCGAGTGGGGCTTCCTGAGCTCGCTGCTGGACGCGGTGCAGGAGCACTCGCCCATGGTGGGCCGCTTCTGGCTGGTGGTGATGCTCCTCTTCCGCATCCTGGTGCTGGCCACGGTGGGCAGCGACGTCTTCGAGGACGAGCAGGAGGAATTCGTCTGCAACACCCAGCAGCCGGGCTGCAAGCCGGTGTGCTACGACGCCGCCTTCCCCATCTCCCACTACCGCTTCCTCGTCTTCCACGTCGTGGTGCTCTCGGCGCCCGCCGCCCTCTTCGTCATCTTCGCCGTGCACCAAGCGGCCAAACCGGGGCGCGGGGGGACCCCGGGGGACCGTGCCCGTCGCCTGCAGGTTTTTTACGTGGGCAGCGTGGTGGCTCGCATCGCGGCCGAGCTGGCTTTCCTGCTGGGCCAGGCGCTGCTCTACGGTTTTCGGGTGCAGCCCCTCTTCGTGTGCCGCAGCCGGCCCTGCCCGCACCGCGTCGACTGCTTCGTCTCCCGGCCCACCGAAAAAACCGTCTTCATCCACTTCTACTTCGTGGTGGGCTTGGTGTCGGCGCTGCTCAGCCTGGCCGAGCTCGCCCACCTCCTGCGCAAGAGCCGAGAGCCCCGAGCCCCCCCCGAAGCCCCCGGCCAGGGGAGCGGGCACCAGCCCCCGGGCAGCCGGCGGGGGTCCCGGAGGAGCCGTGCCCCCCGCCACGAGGAGCCCTGGCTGTGTAGTTTGGTTGGGGGGTGGGGGGGAGAGGAGGGGGCTGCCATCGCTGGCACGAGTTGTGGCCGTTCTCAGCCGTGGCGGTGGTGGGGAAGCGGCTGCACTGTGCCCCCCCCGGTGCCCCCCGCCCCCGGTTCCTGTTGTGGGCGGCGGATGGGCCTCACCCGGCGGCTGCTGGAAAGAAAAACGGACAAAAAGGAAAACAAACAGGTCCCTGACCCCCCCTGCTGACGCCCCCCCCGTCCAAATCCCAAAGTCCTGCTCTGGCCACGTGCCACGAGCGCGCCGGGGCTGGCCCCTGGCACATTGAGGGGGGGGACGGGCACGGCTTTTTGGGTGCCCAAAGGACTTCCCCAGCTCAAATTTTGGGGACAGACAAGGCTAAGGAGGGAAGATGCCCCCCCCCACCCTACCCCACAGTGAGGCTACATCAGGACTGTGACACCCCCAACCCAAATCTCCCCCCCCAGATGCCCCCATATCAAGAACGAGCCGGGCACTAGAATAAATAAACTTTATTCTGGAGCCAGTCCCCCCCCCATCCCCGCGTCCTCCCCGTGCCGGCCGGGCCGGGTCCCGCTCCCCACGGGGGCGAGGACCCCGCAGCCCCCGCCCCACCCTGGGGGGGGGAGGCCAGGGCAGGGTCCCACCCGGCCCCCCCCGACTCTAAAACCACTAAAATCTCAACAACAACAACTGAAAAAAAAAAAATAATAATAATAAATCGTGTGCCCTCCCCCCCCTTCGCCCTCCCAGCCCCCTCCCCGGCAGCGCCCGCCGTGCCCCCTCCACCTGCACAGGCCTAAAAACCCCTCCAAACTTTTACAAAGGTTTTAAAACGTATTTATAGATATTTATAGATATTTATATATATATACTTTGCTTTCTTTCTCTTTTAAATGACTCTGCTTCCTCGGCGTGCGGGGTCTGGCCGGGTCCCCCCCCCCGCCGGACTGGGACGGGACGGGGGCGGTGGCTCTGTGGTCGCGATCCCGTTTGTGCTGGTGCTGGTGGGGCCGGGGGATAAGGGGGGTCGGGGGGGGGGGGGTCCCGGGGGTCGTGGCTGAGTCCCCCGGGGTGTGTTTGGGGGGGTCCCCATGCCCCTGAAATGTAACTCAACCGAAGCACTGCGCAGCCCCCCCGGGGCTGGAGAGGGCCAGGGGTGGGCGCTGCTCCCCGCTGGGTCCGGTCCGGTTGGGGAAAAGGGGTTTGGGGTTGGGGGGGTCCCGAGGCTGTGCCGGCTCTTTGGGGGGGGCTGCGAGGAGTCCGCCCCCACTTGGGGGGGCTGCAGCCTGAGCCGGGGAGCTGGGCACCCCCCCGCCCTGCTGCTCCCACCCTCAAATTGTGCCGGCGGCCGGGCTCTGTCCTGGTGCGCGCCGGGCGCGGGTCACGGCGAGTGCGTGGCCGGGCTGCTGCGGTTGGAGCTGGGCGAGAGGCTGGGGCTGCAGCTGCCCGGGGGGGGCCCCAGGCTGCCTGCTCGGGGGCTGCCCGGCTGCCCCCCCAGAGTGTCCATGCCCTCCGAGTTCTCCAGCATCTCCTGGATGAGGGGCGGCATCGAGCCGGGGATCTCCATCTTCAGCGTGATCACCCGCTCGGCGCCTGCGGGGTGATGGGTGGGGGGTTAGGGGGTGGTGGCACCTCCCCCCCCAAAACTGGGACCCCAAAAGCAGCACCTCCTAATGGGCAACCCCAAACCTGCAACCTCAGTCTGGTACCCCCAGTCTGGTACCCAAAAACTGGAACCCACAAACCAGCACCTCTGAATGGGCACCCCCAAATCCACAACCCCAGTTTGGCACCCCTGAACTGGAACCCCCCAAACCAGCACCTCCAAATGGGCACCCCCAAACCTGCAACCCCAAACTGGGACCCCCAAAACAGCACCCCCAAAACAGCAACCCTAAACCTGACCCTCTGAAGTGGTACCTCTGAATAGGCGCCCCCAAAACCTGCAACCCTGAACTGCCACCCCCATACTGGCACCCCCAAAATAGCAACTCCAAACCGGCACCCCCACGGTGCCACCCCCACACCGCTCCTCTCCCCCCCCCCAGCAGCTCCAGGGCAGAAGGGACATGGGGACACGTCCCCAGGGGATGCTGTGGGGGGGACCCCGGAGGCTGCTGTGCCCTGGGGAAGGACGAGTGACCCCTCCCCAAAATGCTGAGCCCCAGGGATGCTCCCCCTGAGGACACCAAGCCCCAGCTGGGTGCTGCCCCCCCCCCCCCCAACTCCCCGGCGCTCACCCTTGGCGCTGATGCTGCGGAGATCGGTGATCTTCATCAGCATCTTGGGGAACATGTGGGGCTTGTTGGGCCTCCTCTTCCTCACGTAGATCTTCAGCGCCTCCAGCAGCGGCTCCTGCAGCTTGTCCACTTTGTCGGGCTGCTCCAGGTCCTGGCGGTCTGGGTGGAGGGGGAGCAGAGGTTACGAGGGGGGGGCCTCCAATACAGGGGTCCGGATGTGGCTCAGCTCCCCCAGCAGAGCACCGAGGGGTAGGTCAGCAATTTGGGGAGGGGGCTGGCTTGTTTCTGTAGGGTCTCTCCTGCACAGCTTTGGGTCTGGGGGCACGGTGGGCACCCCCGCAGCCCCCCCTTTCACCCTCCCAAGGGGGTACCCACCTCCGCAGATGAGGCAGATGGCGCTGAGCAGCCCCGTCTCGGCGTCGTCCATCTCCAGGGGCAGCAGCTGGTTGGCGAAGGCGAAGACGAGGTCGGTGAGGGGCCCGAAGCCGGCGTTGTGCATCTGCGTGCGGTTCAGCGTCAGCCCAGTCCGAGAAGGTTGTTGCACGGTGGTTTCACACCAAGGAGGTGGTTTTGCAGCAAACCAGCAGTGGCTGCGTGGTGTGTGGGCACAGGAATCTTCTGCCGCTTGCTGCCCCTCTGACACAGCCATTCAGCCCCTGGTTTTGGCCCTGCAGGGTGAAAAGAAAGACAAGCTGGGTGTGTGGATTTGATTATTTCTCTGCAGGAACCTTGTTTACCAGGAATACCCATGTGGTTCTGTCCCTATGAACACAGAGGGAATTGGGCAGCAAGACGCTGGGCCTTTGCTCTTTCTAGATATGAAACCTTTAGCATCTTTTTATTTTCAAGTGCAGTGCCACCAGGCTTGCATGTCCTGGGCCAGGGCAGGAGGTGTGGTGCAGCCGTGCAGGATTTTGGGGAGGCATTGCTGCTTTCCTGCAGTCCCGGGTCCATCAGCTGATGCAGTTTATTCCTGACTCGCCTTTACCAGCAGATCTTCTAGATGGTCAGGCTGTAAGAGCGGCTCTGCTTGAACACCCTCGGGACCGGTTAATACTTCCCAGCCTGTGATTTCCTGGATACGAAGGGACTCGGTGCCTGGTGACCTGAGAACATTCAGGCAGGCAAAGCTGAACACCAGCAGATGGCTTCAGAAAGCCAGGTGTCACTCTCCCTAATAATTCCTGCTAGGAAACAAAAAGCAGGGAGGTCCCTTCTGGTTTTGTCCCCGTTGGATGATGGAGCAGTCCCATTAGAGGGTGCTCAGCAGCTCTGCAGTCACTGCCGTGTTCCTGCTGCATCCGTGCCGCCTGTAGGAAGAGCTGCTGGTCCAGGATCGGGCTCTCGCTGCTTGCGCTGCGAGTTCAAATTCGTTCCTTGTCACAAGGATGGATCCCCTCGTAGCATGAGTGTTCATTTTACAATTCCCAAAGCAGTGAGATTTTGCACAGACGTGCTTACCCTGGGGGAAATTCTCCAATCAATTTATATCAGGCACTTCTGAAATTCTTTAAGAGCCACTCCCTTAGCTTTTTTTTTTCTTTTTTTTTTTTTTTTTTTCAGGTCAATAGAAACAACTGATGCACGTAAGCCTATCTCATGGTGTTGTGTGTTCACAAAGCAAAATTTTTGCCCTCAAATGACTATTTCTACTTCATACTAATTTGACCGTGCCTTGTACTTATGCAGTTACTTATACCCTAATAAGAGAAGGGCTTTCACCCTCGAAGCTGTAAGGCACCTTGTTCCAGCCCAGGGTGGACCATCCCAAACCAACACTTGTCCAGCCTGCTTTTTATTGTCCAGCCTGCTTTTTAGGAGCTCTGGTGCTGCAGGTTCCACTTCTGTTTCTCTCCTTATTGAGTTTCCCCCTTCGCAACCTCTGTCAGAGGAGCCTGTTCTTAAATTGGCTGTTTGCCCTTGATGTACACCGGAATGCTTCCCAGATAAAAAAATAAAATAATAAATCTGAGCTTGTCTGCCAGAAGATCCCTCCTGCAGTTTCTCTGCTAAATCCAATTAATAGGGACAGAAGCGCGGTGGGGCAGCAGCTCTTTGCACCGAGCACCACGCAGGTGATGCGGGCAGGTGGCAGGGCTGAGCCTGGTGCCTTCAACCTCCAATTTCTTTCAGTTTTTCTGATTTCCAGGACTTGAGGCAAGATGAGGAGGGAGCCTGGTGCTCCTGTGCTGTCCCTCGGTCACTTGTCACCTCCTTCCTGCAGGTGACAGCTGCCCCAGACCCTCACGGGTCCCCTCCAACGCGGGATATTTTGATTTTTATGATCCCTCCAAGCACGCTGACACCCACCGGGTGTGCGTGTCCCTACAGCCCGAGGTGTGCAGATAACTCGGGGGGGCTGCCAGCCTTGGGAGGGGGGAGGCTGCTTTTCCCTAAAACTTAAATTTGGGTGAAATTAAACATTGGGGCTGCCTGCAGGTGAGGGGATGGTGAGGGTGGGAGCCAGGCAGGAGGAGCCTTCAGCCCCCGGACAGCCCCATGTGCTCTTCCTTCCCAAATCGTGCTTAGTGACATGTTTAACCACCACTCAGCTGGGACAAATAAATTTATTTTTAACCGTCCTGAAGGGCTGCAGCTCCCCCTGAGATCCCCAGGGGAGCAGATCTGCGCTCGTTCCCTTCAGAGAAGCCTCCTCAGAGGTTAAAAAAATAAAAAATGAGGGAAAAGAGGCGGCGGGGCAAAAAAAAATTAATAAATAAAAGAGGCGGGAGGGCGGGACGGGGCCGAGCACAAAATGGCGGCCGCGGGGTGGGGGGGGGTGAGGAGGAGGAGGGCGGGCAGCGCGCGAGCGCTCCCTGCTGGCCCCCCCCCAGCACCGCGCATGCGCACCCATGGGGGGGGGATGCTCAGGGAAGGGAGGGGGGACAGGGAAAAGGGGGGGGGGGAGGCGAAGCGCGGCGCATGCGCACTGTCCTCCCTTGCTGCCCCCCCCCCCAGGGCGGCTCGGCGAAGGTTCCGGAGCTCGCGCGCGCCCCCCCCCCCCTCCCGACCCGCCCCCCCCCCCCCTCCGCGCGCCGCCGCCGCCGCCCCCCCCCGCCTCCCCCCCCCCCCCGGCCGCTGTCGCTTCCTCAGCGCGGCTCCGGTGCGGACACCCGGCGGCGGCAGGTAGGGGGGCACCGGGGGGGGGGGGGTTATTTTTTGGGGGTGGGGGCAGCCCTAAACCCACTGATACGGCTTGGGGGGGGGGGGCTGCATAACCCCCCCCTTCCCGCTCTGCCAAAAAAAAGCGTGAAAAGGGCGGAAAAAGGGAAAAATAAAATAAAAGAAGCACCGGGGATGGAGGGGGGGGGGCACTGAGGTACCGGTTTGTGCCCCCCCCCTCTCTGTGGTGATGCCGGTTGGAGGTTTTGG